ATGCAGGTGTGAGCTGACTCAGACGCTGTCTGGCAGAGCTGGAGTTCACTATTCAAGGATGAGAGAGGAGGTGGCAGGGAGGCCAGGGGGAGCGGGCTAAGCTCCAGGAAGCAGCTGAGCCTTTCAGAGAGCCAGAGAGTGGTCTTCTGCTCTGGGCACAGGCGACTTCCCTCTAGAGAGACTGACAGCACCTGCCACCCCCACCTTGCCCCATCCCCACCAACCAGGAGCTCTCTGTCCTCTCAGCCAGACACAAAGAGGACTCCTAGTGGAGAGGCCAGACTCCCAGGTGGGAATGAACGAGAAGCTGGAGCGCCCGAGTCCTAGCTCTGCTCTCACTTGCTGATCCTGCGACTCTGGGCAAATGACTTCCCCTTTTGGGGCCCCATTTCCTCCTCTGTCAAGTGAGGGAAAGAGGCTCTAGCCAAGTGTGACCAGCTTCATCTCAACACGCCATTGCCAACAGTTGGTGGCAATGTCCTGAAGATATCTGTTATATACAGACTCTGAGACCATGTCTGAGCCCGTGATCAACAATGTCTGCCATAGGCACACGACGGAAAAGTTCTGGGATCAGTTAACGATGTCTGCTGCGGGCATGGGTGCAACATGGCAACATAGCATCCTGGTAAATGACCTCTAAGGGCCTATGCTTGTTAAACTTAGCAATTCCACCCCTGCCTGCCCAGTGGACATGGCTAATCACAGCTGACAAACATGCATCTCCCATATTGTGACATTTGCATAGAGTGGATTTCTCCCCTTGAAAGACATTCTCACATCCCTGCAGCAAACACCCGCAAGACTTCACCCAGAAGTTCAAAGCCAACAAACAGTGCCAAGGTCTAACACTTGGAGGACATTCCAGCTTCTCTCACCCTGCCTCCAGTCCACAAAGGAGCTTCCTTCAGGATGCGAAGATCCTACCCAGGCCCCAAGGAGAGGCCAAAGAACCAGCAAAGAGCAGAGATGGCTTCTGATTTTCCAGAGCACAAATGGGGGTCTGACCTACGGCCATTAGGATCAGGGCATGGCTGAACCTGCTCGGCCCTAGAGGTACCCAAAAAGGTGCTCACAGACCGACAGGAAAAGATTGATTTCCCAGGCACACCTGCACGTGGGAGCCTCTCGCATCTCTGGGCTGCTTCAGGTCATCTGCCACGCTCCTCTGCTCTCTTTGCATCTGCAGGGCCCGATGTGGTGGCTCCCTGGCCTGAACCCAACCCTCTGGGTGTTACTTCCTCTTTGCACAGATGTGCAGAGGCGCTCCCCAAGATACTCATCCCTGCTGCCACCACCCCACTCCCACCTCTCTGCATACATTCAGAGCCAGGTCCTGGGTCTCTCCGGACGCTCCCCTCCCCCAACACACACACAAACACACAGGCCTTCTTAGCCACAGCACTGGGAAAGAGCACACAAAGCTGCAAGCTCCATCTGCTTGGATGGGAAAAAATAAACCAAATTTTCCAATACCCTGCAGCTGGACAAGATATAACTCCAGGATTAAAACTCAATGGTGGGGGCTGGCGCCGTGGCTCACTAGGCTAATCCTCCGCCTTGTGGCGCTGGCACACTGGGTTCTAGTCCCGGTCGGGGCGCCAGATTCTGTCCCGGTTGCCCCTCTTCCAGGCCAGCTCTCTGCTGTGGCCAGGGAGTGCAGTGGAGGATGGCCCAGGTGCTTGGGCCCTGCACCCCATGGGAGACCAGGAAAAGCACCTGGCTCCTGCCACAGGATCAGCGCGGTGCGCTGGCCACAGCGCGCTGGCCACGGCGGCCATTGGAGGGTGAACCAACGGCAAAAGGAAGACCTTTCTCTCTGTCTCTCTCTCTCTCACTGTCCACTCTGCCTGACCACCCCCCCCCCAAAAAAAAAAAAAAAAAAACCAAACTCAATGGTGGGGCCGGTGCTGTGGTGTAGCGGGTAAAGCCACTGCCTGGAGTGCTGGCATCCCACATGGGTGCTGGTTCGAGTCCTGGCTGCTCTACTTCCAATCCAGCTCTCTGCTATGGCCTGGGAAAGCAGTAGAAGATGGCCCAAGTCCTTGGGCCCCTGCACCCACATGGGAGACCCGGAGGAAGCTCCTGGCTCCTGGCTCCGGATTGGCACAGCTCCAGCCATTGCGGTCATTTGGGGAGTGAACCAGCAGATGGAAGACTCTCTCTCTCTCTCTCTCTTTCTCTCTCTGTAACTCTGACTTTCAAGTAAATAAATAAATCTTTTTAAAAAATCAACTGTAAGAGGCCGGCGCCACAGCTCAATAGGCTAATCCTCCGCCTAGCGGCGCCGGCACACCGGGTTCTAGTCCCGGTCGGGGCGCCGGATTCTGTCCCGGTTGCCCCTCTTCCAGGCCAGCTCTCTGCTGTGGCCAGGGAGTGCAGTGGAGGATGGCCCAAGTGCTTGGGCCCTGCACCCCATGGGAGACCAGGAAAAGCACCTGGCTCCTGGCTCCGGCCATCAGATCAGCGCGGTGCACCAGCCACAGCGCGCTGGCCGCGGCAGCCATTGGAGAGTGAACCAACAGCAAAAGGAAGACCTTTCTCTCTGTCTCTCTCTCTCACTGTCCACTCTGCCTGTAAGAAAGACAACAGAACAAAAATTTCAACTTGTAGAAGGAGGGCAGTTGGCATAGCAGTTAACACATCACTTGGAATGCCACATCCCTACCAGAGTGCCTGGGTTTGAGTCCTGGCTCTGCTTCCAATTCCAGCCCCCTATTAATGCACACCCTGGGCAACAGTGGGTAATAACTCAAATACTCGGATCCCTGCCACCCACATGGGAGACCGGAACTGAGATCTGGGCCTGACCCAGCCCTGGCTGCTGCATTTGAGGAGAGAACCAGCTGCTGGAAGATTTTTGTCTTTCTGCCTTTCAAATTAATTTTTTTAAAGATAAGCAGCTTTCCCATCTTGAGCCTGCCTCCAGTACCCTCATAACCAAGAACCTCCTCCCAACACTCCACAGCCTTCCCTGTCCCCAGCCCAAAACACCTGTCCAGGGGTGCGTGGAGAGAAGCTGGAGTTTGTCCCCAGGAATTGGAGACAACATAATGGAAGCATTGGAGCAGGAGCCAACTCTCAGGGGCAGGGGAATCAGCCACGGAATTCCCAGGCGCCCAGGGAAGCCCCTGGAATCCCTCTGTGTTCCACTACAGATCTGAAAGAGCAAGGAAAAGCTGTCGGCCAATAATTACTTTCTAAAAAAGTGTGTTTTCCTAACAGTGCTGCTGGGAGGAGAGGAGGCGGGCAATGAAGCTTTGCAAGAGAACAGTATTCACCTAGAAAACCCTCACCACCACCACCTGCCTCCCGCCTGCAGGCAGACAAAGCTTTTGGGTGCAAGCAAAGCCTACAGGACCAGGGCCCAGACAGAACCCGACCTGCGGAGGGAGTGGCATCTCCAGCTATTTTCTCCTGACATCTCTAAAGGTCTACACCTCAGGGCACCTCGGCTTCCCAATCCAGAATCTCTGAGCCAGACCCATTTCTAAAGGTTTTCTTCACTTGGACGGTCTCATTTCTTTCTTACTAGTACCTTATCAGGGCAGGTATTTTTATTAACTCCATCATACAGGTGAGAAAATTGAGGCACAGATAACTCACCAAGGTTATACAGATAGTAAATGCTGGAGCTGGTTCTGGAACCCAACCACCCCAGCCCTGGAGTACACGCCCACACCACTGTACTACACCCCAAGGCACTCTCAGTATGCTTCCCCGTGACACGAGAGCCGCCGTCAAAGGGCTTAGCACTCCAGTATGTAGCTTGTGGATTTTCTGCAATATCTGAATACAAGATTTCGGTTTGAAAAGATAATTTAGGCAGGTACCTGGGGCTGGCTCTAATGAGATCTAACCAGTTACATTCCATGAGAATGATCTGGGAAGATGGTCCAGGAAAAATGAGGTGATGTGATTTTCACAGTTATTCTCATTTTCTCTCTCTGGTTAGATATGAGTGTATTCTCAATGTCAACCTTTTTTCAACCTGTGTTTTCTGTTCCATTATACTGTAATGAGCAGGAGAGGCATTTTATTGTCAAATCCCCACGTTTCCCTGCTTCTCTAATAGGTGTCTCTTGAATTATTAAATACCAGTGTTGTAAAAAAAAATACATGAATACATTCTCTTCCAATAAAAAGAGGAAAACATTGCAGACAAGGCTGAGGTTTCCCCGACCATCTGATGTCCCTAATTTCTTGAGAGGACGGCTTCCAGAGCTCCCCAAACCACCTACACGCGCGCACTGCCATGTCCCTGCCGAGACGGCTGCTTTTACGATGGTTCTCACCCTGTAAATATGGTTGTGAGCTTGTGTTGCTCATTCACTAGCAGGTCCTGGAGACCCACCCATGGAACTGGGATCAGCCACATCTGTTCTGGCTGTCACACTCCACAGCAGGAGCACGACATGGTTTACTCTACGGATGGCCACTTAGGCTGCTTCCCCTTTGCCCCACAGCAAACAACAGGAGCCTCTCTGTGCCTTCCTGGGCCTGGCCTTAGTCAAGGCCAATGTTCTCTCCTTCTAGGGCGTGTGAGCAGTCAGTGGCCAGAGCTCACCACACTGCTGGAACTGGAAGTGCCATGCCAGTGTGAAAGACACCAGAGCTCTCTGTGGCCCCCGATACAAAAATCACTCTAGAACTTGGCAGGTTACTTCCCGGGCTTTGGCTCCTGGTCATTCCTGGGAGGTCAATGACCTCAAACAAATTCCCCAGGTGACTAAAAGGCACAGTGCCCGCACGACACACTTCCCCTCTTCTGCTCTCAGGTTAAGCGTTGACACACACCCAGATCACTCCCGTTTGACCTCAGCCAAGGCCTGCTCCGACAGCAAACCAAACCAAAGCTTCTATCGATTGAATGAACAGAAAAAAGTATTACCATTCTGTACCTGCACAGTGAAGAGTATGGAATCAGAACTGTTCTAATCCTAACACCACAGTGGTCCCATTCATTATGTCACACCACACCCATTCCAAGGCCGGTTACTGAGGATTCTGGGCTGACAATTTTGTTCACCCATCATCAGGCAGGCTGTTTGAGAGCTGGAAAGTGAGTGTGACCCTGGGGTGGGGTATGCGGGTGGAGAGTCAGGAGAGATGAATAAGCAAGAGAGATAAAAGCTCTTCAAAACAGGTTAAGTCCTGCAGCGCAAATGAGCAAACCTGAACAACTCTCTTAACTCGATCTGAGTGGTGTGGGGGAGGCTGAATGGCGTCTCCAGGCTCTGATCAAATATTGACCCCATGCACTTGCTGGCTGGAGTTCAGACTAAAGGCCAGCAGCACTGCGGAGCCAATGTTTGCAGAGCAATTACTGCAGCCCAGTGCCTTGTAGGTCAGGTTGTGAAACAACCCTGGATGGAGCCAGGGCTTCAGACAGCCTTCCGGTCCTTCCTTGGAGGGTGGGGGTAGGGGGACCAAGGCAATGGGGGAGACACTTAACAGTGAAAGATCTGGGCAGTGAAACTGATACAGGCTGGAAGTGCAGCCCAGCCACCAACGAGAAGGCAGAGGTGGCCCTCACCCTGCTCAGCTGCATCTCCCAGCAACCCAGGTCCTTGGTATCCAGACGGACCTCCACATCCAGCCTTGTCCTGCTCAGCTCCTACTGGGACAGGCCCCTCTCCAGGGTAGGTGGGGCTATTTTTAGGAGAAACAAATTTCCACTTAGAAACAAGAGCCTCACCTCTCCCCTCTTCCCAACTTGGTATCTGAACGGCTCTCGGAAGCAAGCCCTCCGTGGAAAGCGGCCTGGTTTCCAGAAGGGGCGTCTGGAAGAGCCTTTGGGCTCAGCTCTTCTGTCCATATCCCTCTTCCTGCTGCAGCCCTATAAGATTTTAGTGGGCACCTTGATGAGGGGTTGGGAGGGCTGCAGGGCACTGCAGGGTGGGCTTTATAAAACCAGGCCAGCCTGCTGTGAGTTGCAGATGGACGCGGGGCAGTCCACTAGAGTTCTCTGTGATGACAGCAATGTTCTATACCACTCAGGCCATGGCCACCAGCCACTGTAGCTACTGAGCTCCTGTGCACGAATCATTAAGGGACTAAGATTTTAACTTGATAGCTAAATCTAGTTCTTAAATTAATTTAAATAGCCCAAGGTGGTGTTCAGCCTACAAGTTAAGATACCTGTGTCCGGCATGAGAGCACCTGGGCCCCACTCCAGCTTTGTGCTAGTGCAGACCCTGAGAGGGAGAGGTCATGGGTTCCTGCCAGCTGCAGGGGAGACTTGAACAGAGTTCCTGGGTGCTGATGTCAGCTCTGGCCACTGCAGGCATGTGGGGAGTGAAACAGCAGATGGAAGTTCTCCTACCCCCACCCCCGTTTTTCTGTCCCTAAAATAAATTTTAAAAATCAACAACAACAAAACCTAGGTCCCTAAAAGGTGGGGACTCAGCCCTCCAGAAAAAGAAATAGATACCTAAACAGCCACCTGCAGCTAGCGGCAGCCACACTGGACAGCACAGGTCTCAGGCCTCTGGGCTTGGTGCTTCCCAGGGCATTTACAGATATTCATGCATTTGGCTGGGGAGAGACTTCTGCTTTCATCAAAGGCACAAAAGAATCCCTGATCTCAGAAGTCAGAGTAGAGAAACTCGCTGATCAGTCAGATACAACCTGATCCCAGAGGGTGAGGTTCCCTATAATATGTCCACCGCACCTTTCTTTGTGACATGTGCAATAGGACGAAGTGTGGCTTGGCTTTTAGAAACTAGCATCCTTCTTCCCTCACTAAGCTGTAAGTCCCGTAAGAGTAGGAACCAGATCTGCTTTTGCTCATCCATGTATCCCCCAAGCCTGGCAACGAAAGAAGGGCTGAGGGAAGGAAGGAAATAAATTAAGGACACACTGCACCCCCATAACTATAGTTCTCAAATTCTGGGCAGTGGCTTAAGCTGCTGCTTGGGATGCCCACATCCCATACCAGAGTGTCTGGTTTGAGTCTCGATTCTTCTGCTTCTGATCCAGCTTCCAGCTATCATGTACCACGGGAGGCAGCTGGTGATGGCTTGGGTCCCTGCCACCCACGTGGGCGATCCAGATGGAGTTCTGGCTCTCAGCTTTGGCCTGGCCCACCCCTGGGCTATTACCTGCATTTCAGGAGTAAGCCAGCAGATAGAAGCTCACTCTCTCTCTGCCTTTCAAATAAAATGAAAATAAATAATTTTTTTAAATTCCCCCAAATTAAGGTGGGAGTGTGTGCAGCTGTATCACTCGAGGTTGCTGTCACCAACTGAGACCACGTGGGCATCTCCTTGGTCACCCCTCTCAGGAAGAATAAACCGTCCTTCATTCCATAGCACATTTACACCACAATCTAGTACTTATTTCATCTTTAACAGAATGACCTGCTTAAAAGTCTCTCTCCGGCCGGCGCTGCGGCTCACTAGGCTAATCCTCCGCCTTGCGGCACCGGCACACCGGGTTCTAGTCCCGGTCGGGGCACCGGATTCTGTCCTAGTTGCCCCTCTTCCAGGCCAGCTCTCTGCTGTGGCCAGGGAGTGCAGTGGAGGATGGCCCAAGTCCTTGGGCCCTGCACCCCATGGGAGACCAGGGTAAGTACCTGGCTCCTCCCACCGGATCAGTGTGGTGCGCCAGCCGCAGCGTGCCGGCGGCGTCGGCCATTGGAGGGTGAACCAATGGCAAAAGGAAGACCTTTCTCTCTGTCTCTCTTTCACTGTCCACTCTGTCTGACCCAAAAAAAAAAAAAAAAAAAAAAAAAAAAAGTCTCTCTCCACTAGATACAGGCCCTGGAAGGAAACGACCTTGTCCTTCTCAGCTGTGTGTCCCTCAGCCTGTGCCACTTCTGTCCTGCAAAGTGCAAACACCTTGGAGGCCTCCGCCCTGGCCAATCCCATCTTCCCCTGAGCCAGCCTGGATTAATCATCTTCATCATTCCACCCTCACCACTCACACTCCCAGCCAGGGTATGGTGGCCAGAATGAGCCCACGAAATGCAGGACACAGAGCAAGACTTGAATTCCATACAAAGAATAAATAAATCTTTTAGCACAAGTACTTCCAGAGCTATATTTGGGACACACCTACACTAAAAACAGTATTCACTGTTTATCTGAAACCCTATTTTAATTGAACATCTTGTATTTATCTGGCAACTTTAATCCTGAGCCTCACAAACAGCAGGTGGCTAGTCAGTGAGGAATGTGGGTGCCAGGGGTGGGAGGGGGATGTGGATAAATGAAGCTGTGGTGCCCAGCACTCTGGCTTCAGGTGAGCCTGGGATGAGCAGTGGGCAGGTGCTCTGTGGTTTCTCTGCCTGCTTCCCCCTCCCCCCCAGACCCTACAACTTCCCTACCTCCCTATGAATAATCCCAATACCCCACTGAGTCCAAAGTACCTTGGAAAGGACTCATCAATGCCATGGGTCACCTCAAAAGGACAATGGCTCTCCTCCAAGCACAAGCCCCCCCAAGCTCCCAGCTTTTGCTTCCTGCTGGCTGCCCGGGTGTGTCTGAGATTGTGCCTTCCCAGGGGTTTCCTGAGAGCTCCCCAGGCAGGGCAGTTAGGTCTTGCAGGAAGCTTTGGAGGTGATAACCCTGGGATGTCCTGCTTTGCATCTTGGTTTGCACAGAGCAGGACTGTGTGATGTGGACACGCAGTGGAGAGAAATAGCAAATCCAAGTCTGGGCTTTCTGTTGAGATCTATAACACAGTTCCCTTCAACTGCTTCCTGGCCTCGTGGCTGTGGAGCAGCAGGGGCAGGGACAGCTGTCCCCCTCCCCACTGGTCCCCCCATAGAGGGGAGGGGCAGTGTGTGCTGGATCTACACAGGCCCCGTGGCCCACAACGCTCTGCTTGGTGTAGCCTTGCACAAGCTTCCCAGGTTACATTAGGAAGTAGAACCCAGGGCCTCCTGCTGGCAACCTGGCCTCCGTCAGGGGCACCAGACACCATCTGAGAAGAGAGAGGCAGCATGGAGAGACCCACGCTGGGGGAATCAGCTTATGGGAAAAGAGGACCCAGGGGTCCATCAGAGAGGTGTCCAGGCCCAGCACTGTTCTCTGAATGACACAAACAGGTCCCCAAATGGGGCCCACGCAGCACCAGTGGGAATGGAATGACCTAAATTGTTGAGTGGAGCAATTCTTCACTGGGGACCCACAGGCATCAGTGAACACCTGACCCGGGCAATAAAACTGTATGAATGCACCCGGGTCTGGGGAGGGGGCTTCCAGCAGATTCACAGAGGGTCTGTGGTCCCTTGAAGGCCCTGAACCACAAGTTGGCTGGTGAAGCAGCTTCCCCAAGCTGCCTTAGAGGCCTGGGCCCTCCGGGGCTCCAGAGAGAGGCTTGGCAGAAAACCAGAGTAAAACGTTTGCAAGAGCAAGCCCTGTGGGCCTCAGTCCACTCTCCCCCTGCCCCGTAGGCACATGCTGCAGAGAGGGGCCCACGACCCCCACGGTCTGAGTACTCTGGCTCAGGACTAGGTGCAGAGCAGCTCATTAGCATGGAGTGAACACCAGGAGATGGGCCCTGAGCCCCAGGCAACCCAGCGTCCTTGCCACCTGGTAACACCAAGCAACTCTGACAACTGGGAGTCAGGAAGAACATGGAGCAGCTCAAAAAATCCTTATGCCAACCCTAGCAGGTGGCTACTTTCCAAATCTCCATTGCACAGATGAGAAAAATCTGGCCTGGAGAGGTCCAGGGACCTGTGAGGAGTTACATGGTGACACAAGTGATGGGCCCCAGCCACTTTCCTATACAGGTTCTCAGGAAGCCGAGTGCCAGAGGTCGCCACCAACGACCAGAAGCGGAGTTAGCAGTTCCACTTGTTCTTCCCCAGAGGTGCCACGGTCTCAAAATCAGCAACCCCGATAAATAACAAAGTGTCAGAAATGAATGAATAAATGAATGCCACAAAAATGAAAATAAGTGCCACTAAAAGCCATCATGGCGTGCAAGGGGCTCATAATAATGCTACCATTAGCTCCAAGGGTAAAGTCAAGAGATCCAGTCCAACCCCTTAGCAAAGCATGTCCAGGGTGGCAGTGACCCCCAGCATCGAGACTGACCATGCTCACGACCATTCCAAGGGGCCAGCACCTCGCACAAGTGGCTCCACACTTGTGTCCCCCTCTCAGCACACAGGAAATGAGCCCTCCTGGCAAGGGTGGGCGGGGGGCAGGGAGAGGGGAAGCAGCATTCCTTTCTCGTGAGATTCTGCAACTCGGGAGGGGGTGGAGGGCCAGAGCAGGCCGGGGGGAAGAAAAGTGCTGGTGTGGACGTTCCCACTGGCTGGGAGCCCCCCTCCAGCTCATCAAGGAGCCCTTTCAGGGTTCCCTCTCCCCAGCCGAGTTACTTCCTGTCCGGCACAGTGCACCCATTGACGGACTATCAGAAAACCCCACCAGTTCACGCTGGAAGGACCCAAGAAGACTGGACAGAAGCAGAGGGGGACAGGAAGAAGGCAGGAGGGCAAGGAAGGGCTTTCAATCCCATATTCTATGGGATATTCAATCCCATGCTGTTAGATTAGGAGAGGATTTGTAATACCGGACGCTAGCTCACCCTCAGCTTGTCTCACTGGTGGAGCAGTAAGGACAATCAGACAAAATCGGGTGTTAGGGGGCCGATGTGCAGGCCTGGCCTCTCCAACACAGCTCGTCACTCACGGGCTACAGAGGAAGGACACCCTGGCTGTGAGGGCTATGAGCAGTGACTCTGCTTTGACTTTCTGTTGGCCTAAAGCAGGCTCGCAGCCCTGAGAAAGAACTAGAATATCTCACCTTTCTGTTGCTGGTGTAGGAGGGGCTGCTGGGCCACTCACAGTGATTCTCCCCTTCCCGGCACCTGCCTCTGAGACACAAGGGTGGGCCCCCTAGTGGCCATGGCTATGCTATGTGACTCCGCCACAGGCCATCCTGATTGGGTCAGAGAGGGGATGGGAACCAAGTTCAGTCAATCAGTCTTCCTTGGGATTAAGAAAAAATTTATTTATTTATCTATTTATTTATTTGAGAGAGAGAAGGAGGGAGAGAAAGGGGGAGAGAAGGGAGGGCAGAGACAGAGAGCAAGTGCACTCCCATCTGTGGGTTTACTCTTCAAAAGCTTGGAAGGCCAGTGTGGGCCAAGCTGAAGCTGAATCCGGGTCTTCCACATGGATGGCAGGAACCCAACTACCTAAGCCAACACCACTGTTCTCCCAGGGTCTGCATTAACAGGAAGCTGGAGTCAGGAGCCAGAGCCCGGAATTGAACCAGGCACTCTGACAGGGGATATGAGCATCGTAACCAGTGTCTTAACTGGCAGGCTAAATGCCCACCCCCTTCCCTGGGAGTTTTCAGTTTGGAATTGGGACAGAGTCCCTCTCCCTGAGGTTGGGACCTGCAAGATAAGAAATTCCAGAGCTGCTGACAGCCAGGTTCCTCAGGGTGTGGGCGAACAGAGGCTGAGAACAATGCGGGAGGGAGGCGGAGCTCAGATCGGAGGAGCAGACCATGCTTCTAGCTGTTCACCTCACTGTGCTTTCCAGCACCTGGCCAACCATACCTGCTTCCCGGCACAGCCCTTCAACCATGCCTAAGTCAGAGTGAGTATCCAAATGCCACTCGGGAGCAAAAATGGGCATCGAGGGGCTGCCTGCAACGGGAACTGTGGGGTCCAGGCGACCACCCCCATGTGAACACGCCTACGTGTATTAGACCCCTACCTTCCACACACATGCACACACTGGGTGGCAAGAGCCTTATTTGGTTAGACAGACGCAGTGGTATGCCCAGTTTGTGTCTGTAGTTCACGAAACTGCTTATTTCTGTTTCAGTCTTCTCTGCGTGTTTGCTTTTTTTTGCCTGCCATGGTGCAGCGGCTTGTGTCTCACCCTGGATGTTTATAGACTGGTGTCTGCTCAGCCACATGACACCCACGGCCATCTTCCTGCCTCTCTGCCACTGCTGGCACTCCCCACCCCCAAGGCAAAGGACGGTGACAAAGCCTGACTTTGAAGACCACCCCAGGAAGCCAAAAAAGCCCAGAGGGTCTGTCTGCAAGACCCAAGACCAGGAGCAGTCACATTTACGGTTAAGGGTGCCTCCACTGCCCCTCTGCTCCAGCCTCGCTTCTGACCCAGAGAACTCCGGTGAGGGCTCTCTAGGAGAGCGACTGGTCAGCCCTCCAGAGAGACACAGGCCACCACCCCAGCTCCGGTCAACTCACCTGCAGGTCGAAGAACTTGCTGTACCTCCGGTAGATGGTCTGGGAGGTAGAGTCAGACCAGGTGACATTAATGATGTATACCTGTGGAGGAACAAATAAAGGGCAGGTGAGCAGGTGACCAAGGCTGGGCTTCACACTGTGCGAGGCATCACTAACATAACTGCAGGGCTCCTGGGCCAGGGCCATTGTTTTTCTTGTCTCATCTGTTCCCATGGCATGGTGCAGTGCCAGGTACCATATGGATACTACAACATAAGTCTAAACACACACATACATACACACACACACACACACACACACCCCTAGAAGGGCATTCAATATAATGCTAAGGATGAGAATCTGAGGAAGGCAGGATTAACACAAGTGGTTTTAATTTTATTCTTTTCATGTATACATCTTTTATACAATGAGCATAAAATTGAGGTCATTATTATTATTATTAGGATAGCTAATTTCCATTGGTTCTCAAACATTAGCGTGAATGAGGCTCCAAGAGGGGCCTTCCAAAACTGCAGGCGCCTGGGCTCCCTTCTGAAATCCCGCGTACGCAGGCCTGCGTCTGGGGGACTGAGACAGCTACACTTTCAACACCTGCCATGTTCTGCAGTTGGGCCTCAGACCTCAGCGACTTCAGGTGGCCGCACACATGTCAGGGACGTAGGCATCATCTCCATATCCCTGAGGCTCACGCAGTGCCTGGCCCACAGCAGGTGTTCAGCAAGCACTCCCCTGCGGGGAACGCCGAGCTGGCCCCCTGGACGGGAAGCACACTTGCAGGAGATGCTAGCTCTCAGAGGACTGCAAGACGCTTCTCTCTGGGTGCCTCACGATGAAGGAGTTTCAGAACCAGGTCACCGGGGCCAGTGCTGTGGTACAGTAGGTTAAGCCTCCAGCTGTGGCCCTGGCACCCTATATGGGCACTAGTTTAAGTCTTGGATGCTCCACTTCTGATCCAGCATCCCTGCTGTGGCCTGGGAAAGCAGTGGGAGATGGCCCAAGTGCTTAGGCCCTTGTACCTGCATGGGAGACCTCGAAGAAGCTCCTGGCTCCTGGCTTCGAATCAGCCCAGCTTTAGTCACTGTGGCCATTTGGGGAGGGAACCAGAGGATAGATTTCTCTGTCTCTCTCACTCTCTGTAACTCTGCCTTTCAGATAAAATAAATAATCTTAATAAAAAAAAAGCTAAGCAAACAGGACCTTCTGTGGCCATCCAGAGATGGGCACTCATGACAGGTGAACCTGACCAGGAAGAAGATAAAGTAAAAGGCCATTCCTATTCTTACAAGTAAAAAATAAGCTGCTATTATTACAATAAATATGGATGTACCTGGCTTTGCTTCGCACCCATGTAAACGTATATCTCATACAATAAATTGCAAAACCACTTAGATCACTAAACGTTACAGAATGTTTAGGTAACTCAATGTTACTGCATGCCAGCGGAGGGCAAAACACGTGTGTATATTCATTTAATCTTCAGCCCAGTGAGGCAGCTGCCACACAGCCCCATACTGTACAGGAAGAGAGACTCAGAAAAGCTAAGTGGTTTGCTCAGGATCACACAGCTAATAAACAAGCAAAGGACTTGAACCCAGGTCTGCTGAGTTACTCTCGTGCTCTTCACCACACTGTATGTCTTAGTCCATTTCTGCTGCTATGACGGAATACCAGAGACCGGATAGGTTACAAACAACAGAAGGCCAGCCGGCTTATGGTTCTGCAGGCAGAGAAGTGCAAGAACACAGTGCTGGCTTCTGGAAAAGGACACTCCACGGCACAAGGCAGAAGCGCAAGCAAGCGGGGCGACAGAGATGGGAAACGGGGCCAAAGTCAGCCTTTTATCAGGAACCACTGCTGGGCCGGCACTGTGGCACAGGAGGTTAAGTCACCAACTGAGTGCTGGTCCAAGTCCCATCTGCTCTGCTCCCTGCGAACGTGCCTGGCAAAGCAACAGAAGACGGCCCAAGTACTTGGACCACTGCCACCCATGTGAGAGACCTGGATGGAGTTCCAGGCACCTGGCTTTGGCCTGGTCCACACCTGGCTCTTGCAGCCATCTGGAGAGTGAACCAGTGGATGGAAGACCTCTTTCTCTCTGTCACTCCTTCTCTTGAACTGTCACTCTGCCTTTCAAATAAATAAATAAATAAATAAATCTTTGGGGGAAAAAGAAAAGAAGCCCACTGCTACCATCATGACACCAACCCAGTCATGAGGACAGAGCCCTCCTCGCCTCACCCCCTCTGGAGGGCCCATCTCTTAATACTGATACAATGGCTACGACATTTAGTTAATTTTTATTTGAAAGGCAAAGAGACATAGACAGAGAAGGATCCCCCATCTCTTCCATCCTCTAAATGCCCACAATAGCCAAGGCTGGGCCAGCCCAATACCGGGAGCCTGGAATCAACCCAAGTGGCAGGGACCTGACTGGCCATCACCTGCTGCCTGCCATGGTGGCATTAGTGAAGATGGACTGGAAGCAGAGTGGCCAGGTCTGATCTGGGGTGTGGGCATCCCGCGTAGCAACTTGACCTCTGCACCACATGCCCACGCTGGCAGTGAAAGCTCAGCTGTGTGTTGGAGGAGACGTTCACACCAGGGCACTGGACTATCGCCCCATATGCACATTTAGGAGTGTGGCTATTTAATATAAAGATTCAATCAGGACCGAACGACGCCTTTCTGAATGGAGCTTTAGGTGGCCTGAAAGGTCTCTTCCTGCTGGGGAAGGGCACGGAGAGAAACACAAGGGAGAAAAGGCAGGTCTGAGAGCCTGAGACCAGCAGTTGTCAGAACTCGGGGGCCCACACAGAAGTCAACGGGCAGCAATGCTACAAAACCCTCCTGCCACAGCAGAGACCCTCATACCCCGGGACTTCCGCAGGGTATCGCAGCCCACCCCGTTCCCTCCGCTGTCCCCAGCTCCTTCTCCTTCACGCTCACCTCCACTTCCCACAGGTCCCTGTGCAGGAGCCAGATGCTGTTTTTGAACCAGGAGCTGCCTCCCTGACCTCTGCTCTAGCCACTGAAGGCGAGGCGGCCCCAAGTAGCCTAGCCCTCCCCAGGGCGGGTGGGCCTGCCCTTGCCTGCTGGGCCTCAGACAGTGGCCTTTCTCCTGAGCCAGCCAAGCAGGGCCCGGAGGAAGGGCTTAACTGAGGCTTAGCACCCACCCCCATCCTCCCTGGTAATTAAGGGTTTCCCTTCACCTCCCAGGGAGAATTCATCACAGGCTCACAGCCTCCCTCGTGGTAGCTAGGAGGATCCAGGGGGTGTCTCCTTGCACGGAGCAGGGACCCAGGGCCCAGGCTGGGGGTTGGCTAAGAAGGGGCACAGCCAAGGGACAAGGAGCAAGGGCTGGAGTCACTCCCAGCACGCTCTTTACTGGCCTTGAGAGCTCAGCCCGGCCTCTCAGACCCCCGGGCTCCTCCTTTACACAGTGGACATGGCCTTCAGGGCTACCAGGCCTAATGTCTTCACGGAACGGGGCGCTCACTTGCTGGTGGCAGAGCCAGGAGGGGAGCCAGGACCTCCCGAGTCCCCGCCTAGGGTTATGCCAGGCGTCATCAGAGCATGCCCCACTTGGACAAGTCCTTAGCCTTTCACTCTTCAAAATTATTGAAAATTCACAGCGAGTCATTTCTGTCAACCCTCGATGTGCATCCACACCACAGGCAGGTCCTCTGGAGAACCAGCCGGAGGGAAGGGGTGACAGAGCTGCCGGGCCACCCTCGTCAGTCACAGTCACCCAGCCAGGACACGGCCCTGCTTCTTCACTCGTCTGGCAAAAAGCGCCCCCGTGGACACCTTGCGCCCCATTTTCTCTGCCTTGAGCAGGTAGGAGTGGGACTCTGGCATGAGGCTAGGGGATGAGCCCGCATTCCCCCGTGTGGGAATTTGCCAGAGCCCCCTCCTCCCCAGCCTACCCTTCTGGACAGTCTAAATCCTGGTGAGGGGCCTCCCCGAAGACAAAGCTGAGCCAGGAAGGCGCTGTCCAGGCCCCTGGCTCTCGCCCTGGCAGAAGACTCCTCTGCTTTCTTCCAAATCTCAAGCGTCCTGGATTCCCACCCCAGAGGAACAGCTGACACCCCCAAGTCCAGCCCTCTCCTGACACCCGGGTTTCTCAAGTCTCTGTGAGCTGGCTCTACCCGCACTGGAAAGTTCAGAGATAAACCACAGAGACAGAGCAGGTGCCGGGAAGGGGGACAGGGCAGAGGTCAGCCAAGGAAGCCGGCTCTGTTTACGGAGCCTGCGTGACCCGGCAGCTGGGGCTCAAGAAAGGCTTAGCAATTAAACATCCTGCTTCCAAATACTTCACTTGGGATCAGGTTTCCCGGGTGGAGTTTCCCTTCCTTCTGGACTTAAAACCCCCGGATTCCGTTTCCCACCCCCAGCCCTTGCAAGCAGATGGCAGGACTCCGTGAAGCCGCCAGCTTGTCCAGGGCAGCCCCAAAGAGGAGACGGGGGTCTCTGTCCCCCCTGCCATGCTTGCCTTCCACAGAGGAGGGAATGGCCCCCTGGACACAGCCATGGACCCTCCGGCTGCACACGCAGCCTCACGCCTCGTCTGAGCGCTACACCCATCCCAGGGCCTCAGGCCTGTAAGCTGCTGGGCTTGTGAGACCCAGCAACGTCTGAGGCGCCCAAACCTGCTTTCCCAGTGGGGAGCTCCTGTCCTCTGGGAACTGTGCTTCTTTCTACAGGAAAATGGCCTGGGAGCCGATGAAACTGAGCACCAAGAGTGAGGCTCGGGCCGCTTCCCGTGAAAGGGCGTCCATGGTCAGAGCTGGGCTGTGACCAGTTAGCAAATGTGCAGCCCATTCACTCCTGGGAGGCCCTAGGACCTGCCCCATGTTTAATTAGAAAGCGCCAGTAAGTACCTGCCGCTCCTTTGGTAGACAGAAAACACGAGCGGCAGAGAGTTGGGGGCTGGAGGGAACCTTATATCTCCACGGCACTGCGGCTCAACTTACTGAGGAAGGACTTGTTTTCCCTGGACCACAGCCAGC